TCTTCATATTGCACTTAAATGGAGAAGATTCTTAAAAGCAGTATTTGTTTAAAGTCACTGTCACCTGAGGAGGCCCAGTGGCATATCGGCTAGACAGCAGATTGAGAAAAATGTGGGCCACATTTTGATCCCAACTCTGCTACTAAAGTGGTTCTTATGACCTTGGTAAGTCACTTAACCTTACTTCTCAGCATTCTTAAATCAGCCTCCCAGGTTTTATGAAGAGCCTTGGAGAAATTTGTTTTTAGCAAATAAGAGCTGACACCCAGAAGCAAAATGGAACCCCTGCTGGATATTTATACAAGAAAAAAGGTTAAAGGTTGTTTTTAGCTACATAGAATTTCTTCTGACCTCTTAGTCCAAATATAGTTTGCTTCCTGGAAACCTACTAGTTAACGAAAGCTGTTTAGTGGTTAATCATTTTAAATTGGCAATTGCTCTGGCATACTGAGCTTGGGAGAGGCTCTCTTACCATTCTTTCAAGGACAAATCAGCTGTGGTCTCTGACCTATTTCTTTAGAGGTAAACTCAACCTTGCCAAGCATGAAGAAGATTGGGAAAGCACACAGCTTTGGTGTGTCACAAGTCTGTGTCATGGCTGGGCACATCCTTACTCATCTGGAAAGCTTCTTTCTTCTCTGTTTTTTTTTAAGTGTTCCTTCCTCAGCTAACATATTAGTTGTAGTTGTACTTTGCACAGACACAAATTAGAGAGCCATCAACATTGGGGTCCAGAGGCTGACAATGCAGCTGTTATCCTGGTGTCCTAACTGGTTGAGTGTAATTGTCATTAAGCAGCGATAAAGTCTTCTGGAGCTCTGGAGAAGAATCAGCCCTTTTTCCGACTTCCATTCGGTATCTCGTCTTGCTTATCCCAGCCAGCGTTGTTAAGGGCTTTTAGGTCTCATTTAGGGTGTGATCTGGGTCCCTCTTCCCTGACCAGTGCTCTACAGTTGTGGAGATGTCTCCTTCTTCACCGTGAGTTCACAGGATGAAGCCTGACTCCTGTTGCCATTGTGTGAGGCTTGAGAGCCTGCTGCCGAGTCATCATTCACACTTGCTGAAATACAGAATTTGCTCTCTGTTCCCTTCAGTAGAGGAGACAGAGTTTGTTTTTTACCCTCCTGAGTCTTCCTTTTCCCCAGTAGTATACTGAGGATTAAACCCAGGGCCTTCACACTGAGCTGTGTCCCATCTTTTTTACAGCAAAACAGTTTTTGTAATTCTTAATGTTCTTTGGCCTTGAAGAATGGAGTGAAGTTAAATGGATATCTATAGAAATTTTCATGTTTACCAAAACAGTTGAGTTTATCTAAAGTGATAGATACATAGATAATTATTTTTTTAGTAGCTGTGAAACTCAGGACCTTGTATATGGTAGGCAAGCCTCCTACCACCGAGCTATCCCTAGAGCTGTATTTTAATCAATTTGGAAATAGATGCAGGAAGTCTAATGCATATCAGTGTGTGCATTTGGTGTGTTTAATCATTAGCTGCAGAAGACAGGCAGTGGAAACAAACAGACATGCTTTTCCAGCCAGTCAGGTTGTTGCCTGTGGAGACTCCTCTCCAGCCACTGTTTTGGTTTTTCATTTTTAGTACTGGCTGTGATGGAGTCTATTGCACTGTGATGAGACTTCACAGTCAGGTGGAGGAGACATGATGTGTACATCTGGAATTCGGAAACACGTGGCTGTTTCTTCAGATACAGTGTGTAGTAGAGTCAGTGCTTCATGGAGGAGAGGAGGGCCTGGGCTAGACTGTAAGGGCTGGTTGGATTGGACAGGTCAGTGGGCCTCAGTGAGCTGCACATGGAAACCGCTCATGACTGGTCTCATTTTCGTCAGATTTAGCTGGTCTGGGGTACACTTGGGTATTGGGTGACTCTACTGTGCTGCCAAAGTGGAGCCCCTGGGGTTGGATTACGAGGAGGGAAGACACTCTGGGCAGGTGGATGATGGAGCTGAGGCTCAGAGGCAGGAGCATTTGGAAGCTTGACTGGAGGCCAGCTCATGTGAGGAGAGACTAAACATGTGCTGAAGAGAAGGGCAGGAGCTGGTTTGTGAAGAATTTGCAGTAGGCCCTGTAATCAGAGCTTCATTCAATAACGTATGTAGAGAAGGGACTTCACAGAGGGCTTTTTAGTGTCAGGCACTCTTCCATTTTGACTCTTCTAGTCCTTAGATACACAGCCATATGCAAGACCTACCCTCTGACCCAAACTGCATGTATGTGAGTAGGGAGAGGAACAGTTTGGTAATCATCACATAATTGCTGGAAGAGAAATGTCCAAGCTGCTAGCAAGCTGGTGGCTCACATTTGATACATGGTCTAGCACAGAGGTGAGGAAGAAAGGCAGTGTTTCGGAAAGAATGACTCACAAACTCAGGTGTTTTGGAAGGCTGGGCAGGACATGTGCAGGGCTGATTCCAGGTGGGGGTGCTCAGAAGCAGGAAGACTCCTCTACTAGGTGAGAGTATTGAGGGAGTATTGAAGGACTGTAGGGATGAGGAAAACAAAGAGCTTGGCGATGGTGCATATTGGCAAAGGTGTTGAAGGGGCTCTTCTCTTTTTGTATCAGTAACCTGGGACTGACAATACCACTGACAAAAGTAAGGAATTTCATAGGAGCCAGGGATTTAGCTCGGTGGTTCCACCGCCTGCCTCACAAGCACAAGGACCTGGAGTTTGATCCCCGGTACCAAAACAAAAAAACAAAAACAAAAAGTAAGGAATTCAGGAACAGGCTGGCAGGGCAGTGAGCTGAAGCTTTTGGAGGAGCACATGCATTTATTTTAGTTGTGTGGATTTGCAGTGTGATTGGGACAACTTCCTTTAGGGAAGAAAAGGCTCATCAGTCACCTTTTAGATACTGCCATGTTCACAGCGAGTTCATAATTTGTATGCCTTGGTGCCAGGCAGCTCTGAACCACTGATGGTTCATGCATGACTGTCCCATGCCGCCCAATGGTGGTTCAAGGCAGTGGGAATGTGTTAATAGAGCACTGGTCTCTGGCATTTCTGTCCTCCTCTCCTCTTCCCCTTAAATGAGGAGTTATCAATAGCTTGTATCTCCCAGTCCACTTCTGTCCGGTTCAGAAGTTAAAGCATTTTTCCCTGTTTTATGGCTTTTGTTGTTGCTTGGCCTCAGAGCCCTTTGTGTTAAGGGAATATGGGGCTGGATCTTGAGCTACCAAAATTCTGACCTCTACACACCACTCCTTCCATTGTGGCTCCAATGGGGCAGCACAGAGAGCAGCAGGAAGACCACATGTGGAGCAATGCCTGGTTGGTTAAGAAATAGACCACATACCCTGGCTGTGTCCTTTCTTTCCTCACATTCTTTAGCTCTCTGACCTCCTAAATTCCCTCTTTTTCTTTCCTGCACTACCTTTCTCTGTATTTCTGAAAAAGACAGTGATGTTATTTTCAACTTTCTTTTCTGAGTAAGCTGGTTCCTTTCTTAGAATTTAACCTTACAAATCTAGTCACACAGTCTAGGAATTCAGACATTCACTGTCTTTGTAGCTAAGCAAGTCATTATTCCAGAGGACAGCCTGAGTCATTTTTGCCCTGTCGAGTTGGGCCTGATAGTTTTGATGTAGCAGGCTAGGGTATGTACTTTTGTGTGGGCTTCCTTTCTCACTAAAAAGGGCGATTCATATCACTTCTCTCTGAGCAGGGGAGCCAGGGCCATATCAACATCTGCCCCTGCCTGTGCATTACCAGGCTTAAGGAGACTTGGACTGTGAGCATTGTGTTTACTGGAGGATCAGGGTCAGACAGAGGGGCAGCAGTACACTGTGAGACAGCACATCTCTCCTGGTAACTCTGTAGACCATGTGTGCCCTCCAGACCCTGTCCTGCAGGTGGAAAGCTGAGCTCTTCCAAGCTTGGGAATCGGTGTGACAGGCTGACCTGCAGATGATATAGTCCATGAATTTAGTGGAGATTGTCATTTGTGGGGAATGCTACTACAGCTAACGAATGAAGCACTCCTGAATTCAGAGCATTTTTAGTCTCTTTAAGAAATCTCTCTTGAGATTGATCTCCTACAGCTGCATTATACATGTTTGATGTCAAAAATTTGAGTGATTACATAGTTTTCAGAGCTTATCTTGCTCACTTCTACAGTGAAACACTGAGGGAGCCATTGCTAGGACCTTGGGAAGACTGTGAACCTCCTCGGAATCACCTGCTGCTCTTTGTGGTGTGGGCTCATCTCCTGACCCCTCCCCCCAGGTTGCTTTACAAGAAGAAGTCAACCCTTTGTAGCAGACATTAGCTTAAATGCCTCAGTGGCCAGCAGCACCTGCCTCATCGTCTGGCCATCCTGTTGTCCTCGTGGCCTCTCTTGGCTTTGATGGAGAGTCATTTGTGGGAGTAGCAGTAATAGAGCAGAATGAGTTTTCCTGTTTTCCAAGTGGGTAGAACCAGAGAGTGCCATGGGTTTCAGCAAGAGCTTTTCACGAGAAGGCAGCACTGTCTGGCTGTTGAAGGCAAGATTTAATTGTTTCAGCAAATCAATTAGTCTTTAGGGACTTTAATCAGTGAGATCTGATGCATGGGTGAGGTATGAGAAAGCTTGTGCCTGTAAGACATTAGTTCTCAGGATCCCAGCAGCACCTCTCTCTATCTTCTGTGTGGTGTTTGTGTGTGAATGCTGTTGCTTATACACATTTCTGTTAGTAATCTCTGTGATGAGAGAACTTAAGGTAACAGATTGGTTTTAACAGCGTAAAAGGAAAGCAAGGAGATTTGGATGCTCAATTTCTTATTATAATTTTCTCATTTGAAATGGTCACCATTGTGCTTTGAGAATGTGAACCAGGTTCAAAGCCTTCTTTTATCCAGTTGACATGTTCCCCTTTTGGAATCACTCATCCAAATGATGCCACAGGGGTGGTTCTTCCCCAAGATCTCACTTCTCTATTGTTTTAGGGCCTTCCTCATTTTCTTTTCAGTCCCTTTTTGGAACCAAGTGTGCCCTTCTTTTCCAGATATACATCGGGGGATGTGCGGGTGTGGGACACCCGCACCTGGGACTATGTGGCCCCCTTCCTGGAATCCGAGTTTGAGGAGGATGAGCCTGGAATGCAGCCATACGTCTCCTTTGTGAGGATAAACAGCTCGCTGGCGGTAGCAGCTTATGAGGATGGTAAGTAACTGCGGCCCTCCTCCCTATTAAGGAAAAAAAAAGCTTTACAAAAATTAAGCAGCTGTGGCCGGCTCTCCCCTGTAATCCCCCCATACGTACACATGGGCGCACACACATGTTCACACACATACAGTCACTTCTGCCTTTATGTGAAGAAATTGGCCAATAACCCTCAGTGCATTAGTAGGCATTGGAACACGGTACCCATTAAAACTGGTGTTTAATTCCTACTGGAACTGTCAGGCTGAGTGTTAGTGCCAGACACGACAAGGCTGGCCAAACCATCTTAAGCAAATAACTTGTTTGGTGTAAAATATTAAATATACTTGGCCTAATTTTCCTTTAGCCTCTGCTCTGTTCAAAAGGAATAGTGATAATGGGATAGATGTAGATAATTTATGACTAGTACAGAAATAGAAAAAGAAAAGTCAATGCCTGGTACTTAGATACCGTACAAGATATGTTGTCTCTGTGGCACTAAGAGGATTCCTTCTGTGTGTGAGCAACAGTGGGTTTAGAGAACTAGAATAGTCTAAAGTTAGTTTCACAGAAATAACAAGACAGCTGACAGTTTCTGACAGCCAACAGAAATAATAATTTCAATGGCCACGCTTCCCTATATGCCTACTGCTCATGCTGCTAACTCCCATTGTGGTGGGAAGTTTGACTCTCCAGAAGCTTTGTTGAACAGTCGGACCACAGTGTATTTCAGAACATCAGTGTTCATGTCATGGCACAGGTGCCATGCTGCAGAGTCGGGTAACAGTTGGCTCAGCAGACAAATCTGAAGTAAAGTAGCTAATGGGAAATCTTATACCATTAAAAGTAAAAATTAGAACTGAAATCTTGAATGTTTTTACTTCATTACTTTAGCAACATGAACTCTATTCCCTTAGTTTGATGTTAGACACCATTTATACTTTCTGTCCTTCAGCCTATAGAATTAAGCCACTTCTGTGGTGTAGTTATTAATATTTCATATATGTTTTGATATCCTGGATAACTAGCATAAGAGCAACCTGATCATGAAGCTTGCTTTATTTCCCCAAAACACCTGTATAAAAGTTGTATTTTAAGTCAGAATCATACAGTTTTAGAATTATCCAATAGCTTCCTCCTGCCATACAGACACATGAATGCACACATACATTTTCTTCTGTCAGTGGGGAGACTGAGGTGCAAAGAAGCCAGCTGAATAATTTGTTTGAGGCTGGAGTCAGTAGTGAATCCAGAACTGAGTGGGTGTCTCAAGCGATGCTACAGCTGTAGTGCTGTTCTCGTAATACCAAACACAAGAGCCTCTTGTAGAAATTTGCACCCAATTTATTTGTACCCCACATTTGGTACTTGAGATTAAACCCAGGGCATAGTCCATGGCAAGCACTCACTCTACCACTGAGTTACACGTCCAGCTCTGGTTTTATGTTGTTGGTTAGAACTGTCTATTACACAGAAACATCAGTGACATCATAGATATGTGAAAAAATATTTTCTTTGGTAACTGTTTGGCAAATGATTGTCCAAATTCAAATACTTGGATTAAAAACTTTCATAGTTAAAATTCAAACAGCCAAAATGTAAAAGAAAACGTGTCAAGAAATTGAAGCGTTTGCTTCCTGTTCCCCCACCTAGAGGCCCTTTCACATTTTAGCCACGGCCTGGTCTGTTTTTATATGGTGCTTTCCTTTACCTTGCCTTTTTCACCTAATGACGTATCTTACTGTTTTCTGTTCATACTTACTCTTTTCAGTGCCTGGACAGTATTGCATAATGTGGCTAGGCCATAGGTCCACTGCTGGTGTACACTTGACAGCTTATGTTTGTTACTGAAGCAGTGCTGCAAGCAGTACCCCAACTGAGCATCATGATAAACTGGTGCACGTGTATTCGTGGGGTAAATCACTAGTCACTGTGTGTGGAGGGTATGGACGTTTGTTTGGATAAACACTGCCAAACTGACCTTAAGAGAACTTTGCCAGTTCATAGCCTCACCAAAAGTATACAAGAGTAACCGTTTTCTCAGACATATCTGATAGGAAAAAATTGTATTTCCATGTTCTTTTGTTTACTTTTGTTAATTAGAAATATATATGAACATCTTTTCATTGTGCTTTGAGTTGCCTGTAATTTTTTTTGTGTAAATTGCTTGTTCCTTTCTCTATTTTTCTTTTTTGTTTGTTTTTTTGGTACTGGGGATTGAATTCAGGACCTTGTGCTTTCAAGGCAGGCATGGTGCCACTGAGCAAAATTCCTGGCCATCTCCATTTTTTTTTTTTTTTTTTTTAATGGTACTGGAGATTGAACTCTGGGGTCCTTTCGCTTGCGGGGCAGGCGGCGGAACCACTGAGCTATATCCTCGGCCCCTCTATTTTTCTTTTTGATGATTTTTTTTTTCTGAATGAAAGGAAAAGATTAGAGAAATAACCCTGGTCATAAGTATTTCGTGTGTTTTTTGTCATTTATTCTTCAGTGGGCTTTATGGTTTGTTTTTCTTGAAGGCAATTTTTTGTATATGTGATTTTAATTTTTAATAAATGAATTAATTTTATTTTTATTTTGTAATTTAATAATTTTGACTAATAATTTCAAAATGACGTATGCAATTATGCTTTGAGAAATCTTGCTTTCATCTACTTTTGCCAACTTTATTCTAAAGTAACCATATTTTTTACTTCCTTATATATCCTTCCAGTATTTTGACATTGCAATTCAGGTAAATATGAATATCTATTCTTATTTTCCCCCTACCTTTTTTTTTTTTGGTACCAGGGATTGAATTTGGGACCTTGCACTTACAAGGCAGGCAGCGGAACCACTAAGCTAAATCCCCAGCCCCACCTTTTTTTTTTTTTTTTTAAGGTAGCATTACATTACTTTATTACTTTATTTATTTATTTATTTATTTATTTATTTATTGGTACCAGGGATCAAACTCGGGACCTTCCACTTGCGAGGCAGGTGGCGAAACTACTGAACTAGATCCCCAGCCCTACATTACTACTTTGTAAGCCATCTTGGCTTTTCTCGTGTGCTAACATATCTTGGAGATTGTCCATGTCTGCATAGGGAACATGCCCTACGCAGAGTTAATCATTTGCTATTAAAGACAGTGTTGGAGTGAGAAGCTTTGTACAGATGACATATCGTGTGGGTGCAGGAAGTGTAGTTTCCTATAGGGATTTCTGGGACAAAGGGTAAATGCAAATGGGATTATGCTTGTTTGTACTTTTAGTTCTGGATATTTATTAATTTCATAGGAAATGGTGTCTGATTGTAGTTTTAATTTACATTTCTCTTAGTGTGAGAATGATCAAATCTTTTTTCACATGTGTATTTGCTACTTGTAGTTATTTCTTTTTCTTCTGTTACTGTTATGACTTTTTTATATTTAAATCTTTTTTGTTTGTTTGTTTGTTTTGGCACCGGACCAAACTAGGGACCTTGCTATATTTAAATCTTGATTGATAAAGAGTTCATCCTGGATTAGTAGAAAATATGGACCCAAATATATCTCTTTTTCAGCATCACAATGGAAAGCTGATCTGAATCAGGCATGGTGACACACGCCTATAATCCTAGCTACTTCGGAGGCTGATGCAGGAGGATCACAAGTTCAAGGCCAGCCTGAACAACTTAGCAAGATGCTATCTCAAAGAAAAAAAAAAATTAAAAGGTCTGGGGACGTAGCCTAGTGGTAGAGTGTTTGCTAGCATGTATGACATCTTGGGTTCGATCCCTATTTCCACAAGTGATCAATTAATGGAGCCCATCGGTGGGAGGTGCTCCTTTGATAAGCTTGCAGATATAAACCTCTTTTGTGTTTGGGTCTGGTTTTGGACTCTTGTGTTCTGTTTCACTTGTCCTGTCTGTCACTGGTGTGCAGATCATCCAGTTTGTCAGTTTCATCCTTTCAGGTTTCACAGGACTCTGGGAAAACGCTTTCTTCACTGTGAGGTTAGGTAAACTCCACAGAGCTTCCAAGGGTGCAGTGTTTACTTTGAAATCTGTGATTCGTGTCAAGTTCATTTTGGTGTTAAGGGTCATTTCTCTTATGACAGCTCTCTCTTTTCTTGCTCCTCTGTCATGCTGAGCTTGTCTTTCTAGTCTGATCCTGGTTGTTACTATTTCTGTGATAAACAACGTCCTGTTTTTTCCCCAGACCTCAGGTGGCATTGTCTTTGGTTTCACTTCAGTTTAGCAGATTGACACTATGATATTTATACCAACGTATTCATGAATAGCTAATTCTGGGCAAAGACAGATTCAAATAATGAAACGCACATTTCTTTTTATTGCTCCTTTCCAGGAGCAGCAAACTGGCACGTCTTAGGCAAAAACATGGCAAAAGAGAAATTTACCTTGTGGGGTCTGCTATATAAATTTTGTGACTGTGCCCCACATAAAAGAAGAGTAAGATCATAACATGAGTTAATGAGCTCTAGCTCTGTGGTTGTGCCAGAGTGAAGCTCTGTAGCCATCAGTACCCCTTGGTGGTCTATACCACATTCTCCATAGAAGGAATCTTACCCAGAAGGGAGATGGACACTGCTTTAGGAGAAAGTCAGACATCCCTGTGTCCTTTTCCATCTCCTTGCCCTGTAGGAGCACTGTACATGCACCTGGGGTATTGAGATTTGGCAAGGTGATCCACAGTTGTGATTTTTTGAATTCCAACCCACTGGCCTCATATTTCTTCTGCCTTGTTTCCGATTGTCAGCACTGGCTGTCCTCCAGTTTGATTTTACCACTAATTGTGTTGCACGTTACCGTACTGAAATGAATCAAATCAAAATGCTTTTCCTGGAGCATTAGATAAAGCAGGCGAAGGTTCTGAGTAATGAGCAGATGCTGCTAATGCAGGGACAGCGGAGACCTTGCCAGGACTCCATCTGCTCCATGCTTGCCTGCCTTTGGCCTCGAGCCACGGCATTAGGGAATGGTAGTGTGCTGCAAACCCGCTCCCTGTTCAGTTTGTCTTGAAAACTCACTCTCTGGTGAGA